TGCTTAGAAAATACCATTTTCTGTTCTCTGTCAAGAAACAGCATGAGTTTCACTGAGGCTGTGCTTCCTTATAGACTTGTGCCTAGTGTTCTCCACTTTAAATGTGGAATAACATTGCCACACTGCTGTGAGTTATAACAAAAACTTTTTTCATGTGTATTGTTTTGTTGAAGAATTTTTAAGTACAGAAAACTTAACAGTGTATATTTAACTGAGTTTAGTGACAAGTTCTATGGCCCTCTTCTTTTCCAGCCTGGCATTGCGAGTCACAGGTTTTGAACCCAGGATGTTGCCTCTGCCCAGTGAGAGTAGCTCTCATGATATCGGTCACTATAATTGGTCCTCATRGTTTTCACCAGCTTAACCAGAGCCCCTTCATCTTCCAAGTTCACCCTGGTGTGGTGACAGTGGTGCTGGTCTTCTTAGGGACTAGGTAGCCCATCCTGGCCTTCCCCTGGATGCTGCAGAAGCAGACAAGAAGACAAGCAGCTCAGCAGATCCACATTTTGCTGATGTCTACACATTGTACACACGTATAGAAGTGTCACATTGTAATTAATAAATATGTGCAATTGTTAAGTGCCCATTTAAAATTTTTTGAATATTTTAAGAATAAATTTTAAAGGAAGAATGGGTATATATTGGCAGCTCTCTCATTGGTTACAAGTGTGAGAAATGGAAACCGTTTTGCTTTTTAACTTGAACCTGAATATTTTGGTAACAATAAGCCATCAGAGAATGGAAAACCAACATTTAAGCTCTGGTAACTGTTCACTAAGAGTGAATGGCTATCATGTGACATACATAGATGAGTGGCATGATGACTTTTGATCGCATCAGTGAGCAAATTATAAATGTGTGAACAGCCACTCTTTTTTTTTTTTTTTTTTTCCTTTTGGTACTGGGGATTGAACCAGGAGCACTTAACCATTGAGTCACATCCCTAACCCTTTTTTTTTTTTTTTTTTTTGAGACAAGGTCTCAGAAAGTTGATTAGGGCCTCACTAAGTTGCTCAAGCTGGCTTTGAACTTACAAAGTTCCTACGTCAGCTTCCCAAGCTGTTGGGATTACAGGCACACACCACCTGCCCATTCACTTTTTAAATGAGGTAAATCTGGGTAGTTTAAAACATAATTCCATGGTAATCTTGCTTAGTGAGGAGTCGGAGGGCAGGTAAGTTGTAGCCCATTATTAGCCGGGTTCTTTTTATCACTATATAAATAACCTATGTGTTTGTGAACATGTATAAATAGGTGTTTCTCTGTAGGCTTATGAAAAATCTGGGAAGGACATACACCCCTCAGTAGAGGTAGAGATGGACGTGCAAGGGAAAAGACCAAAACACTGTCGCATGACCCTTGAAAGAGCAGTGGTGGCTGGGATAGAGGAGCACACAAGGTAGGAAAGTGGTGAGCCGTGGCATGGGTTACTCTGGATAGGTTTGGTCAGGAAGGAAGAGGGAGATGGAAATTCAGCTTGAGGAGCAGACAAGGTGATGCACAAGTTTCTTTTTCTTATATAGATTAGGAGAAATGTGAGTCTGTATGCCAGGGAAAGAGAAAATACAAAAATAGTGGTAACTGAAGGAGCATGGTAGTGTTGGAGGCGGTAAAGAATGGAATCAAGACTGAGCGATCCTTCTTTTCTCTGGGTTGTAGAGGTCGGAAGAGGGTGTTTTAAGAGCTCCAGGCGAATGGCCTTTTTGGAGACAGGCCACAAACAAACTGAAGGGAATGCAAATGGGTGGTGTTAGGTGTGGAAGGAAGTAGGAAACAGGTACTCTGGAGTTGATTGTGGGTGGGTAGGGAGACATTAAGGAAGACATGGGAAGGGAAAGATATGAAAAATTCATTTAAGGAGAGGAAAAAAGAAGGCATAATTCCAGAGCCCAGCTTAGGTATTACTAATTTGTGATGAAGTAGGCTGGGATCTCCCAAGTGTCCAGATACCCAGGAGAACAAATGCAGTGGGTTAGGATTAGGATTAGAGGACTTCAGGCATGAGTGACATTTACAGGGCTGTCAAGGTTTCCTGAGCTGAGCCAGAAAGCACGAGAGAAGCTGACAGCCAGAGAACAGAAGGTACTGATTGTCATGAAAAGAGTTTTTAAAAAATAATAAGAGCAGATACCCTAGGAGGAAAAGGAAGGGAGGGCAGTGAATGAGCAGGTTGGTCAGAGTGGGAGGTCCTTGCGGATCAGCTGCCAGCTCTGAGAGCCAAGGTGATGGGTGTATGCTGTGAGGGGGCTCTGCAGGTCCTGTTTCTCTTTGCCTCTCCAGGGCTTAGCCGTGTGCCTGGCGCATAATAGACATGACAAACATTTAAATGAAATGGGGTAGAATGGAGTTAAGTGAAGGTCTTGATCTTGCAACATTTGAGTGTCTGGTCAGGGTGTTGGACAGCATCATCCTCATCATAAAAGTCCCTAAGGGAAATCACAGGAGAACTGGGTTAAAAGAGTCCCATATTGAAGTTATCAAAAATGGTGGGGAAATATCTGGTTTTAGTTTACATTAACTTGTGAGCATAGAGAAAATGATAAAAGCAAATGCTGTGGCCAGTTTGGGTGAGCCCATTTCCCTGCCACAGAGCATACAGGAAACATGCTAAATCTATAGGTTTGGGRACTCCATCTTCTGGGCTGATGCCTGGGAAACAGTGTTTCTAACAGGTTCTTCATAGATATTTAGGCAATAAGTCTGATAAAACACTGGTGCAGACTTTGAAGTGGAGCTTTTTGGTGAGGTTTGAGGGAAGCAAATAGAAGCAAGGAATTTGCTAGTTTCTCCTCCTAATCTAACAAAATGGCTTCAAGAACAAAGCGGTGAACAATGCTTAATGGCGAATTCCTGGACTGTTTTTAATGACTGTTTCCAAAATGGCCACAGGTATTCCTTCCATAGTTATCAAAAGACTCAGGGTTCAGTTTGCTCTTTTATTGAAGAGTCAGGTTTAGGGTTAGTTTAGGGTCCAGTGCCATTCCATATATGGAAATGGCATAGAATGGCTGCTATGTTTGAATGCATAGAAAGGGATTGGATAAAATGTATATACACATGTAAGTGGTATGTATATTTTAAGACTGCAACAGCCTTTTTGTAAGGCATTTTCTTGCCCACAGTAAAATCATCTTTACAATGCCCTTTCGCTTTTGGACAGTTCAGAATACTGTTATCTTAACATCAGAATCGCACCAACCCAAAGTGTGGATTTATTTCTGCACCTACAGGCGTATGGGGGCTTTGGACTTTTGATGGTATTCTGAAAGGATGTGTTGGTCCTGCAGCCAGATGAGAGAATGGCAGGCCAGTTTGCAGGCTTTGGAAATCTTACAAGAGGTAGCAGGAAAAGTGGTATGAGAGGAGGAGTGGAATCATCATGAAGCAGCAAGAGAKAGAACACTTTGAGAACAGGTGCAGGGTCTTAGAATCGGCAGAGATGAGATGCGTCAGTGCAGCTGGGTGAGAGCAAGGGGCACAGGGGAGGCCAGCCTGGGAGGGAGAGCTGGGCAGGGACTTGCAGAGAGATGGGCAGTTGGCAGGTGGCTGGAAGGAACACCGATTTGAGCAGATGATTCAGTTATGGTGGCATCCTATAAGACATGATTCATTTGCTTTGATGCCGTGCCTCTGTGGCTAAAGAACCCTCCTTTCTTCCCATCTCAGAGGTGAAGGCCTTGTGTTCCAGCTCATTAGCCCAGCCAGCCACTTCAGGRTGGTTCCTCTTACTCTGCATTTACTTGAACCCACTCACACAGCTCCATCAGTGGCTGCCAACACTAAATAACTTCAAACAAAACTGTCTACTCTGCAGAGCAGGCACCGTGATTCCTAAACTGCCACATTTACTTTCTTTACCTTTCTCTCCAAAGTCAGAAACAGATGCTTTTTAGTCATACTATTCACTGACAGGATGCAAAGGATGACCAGCCTTGGAGCACTTATCACAGTCCTGCACCCCCTCCCCCCAAATCCATGGTGCTTCCCCTCCCGATTATCTCCAAGGATTTTGTGGCTACTTTCTGCTGCAGAACTGCTGCCATCAAAAGCTGTAGATTCAATTTAGCTCCAGGTCATACAAAGCATGAAGGCTCACAGGGGAGGTCAGCAAGAAGTTTCTGAGCTAAGGCACTTTCCAAGTGTCAGGGTAAAGTCGCCATGTTTGCCTGAAGGGAAAACGATTTGCAGCTTTTCTGTCTGGAAGAAGCCATTATCGGCTTTTCATGGCTTATCATTTATTCTATGGCTTATCGCTTGAATAGCATTTAATGTTCCCTTCCTTATCCTTTTTCTCTTAATCCTTTATTCAAAAGTAATGAATATGGAGATGTTGACTGAACTTGCCCAAGGTGGCCCAGATTCGGGAAGGTTTGAAGAGCCTTCATTGTCAATACTGGAGAAAATATCCTTGTTTACCCAGGAATAATAGGATTTCTATGGTGTTCTTCACCAGCTTAAGTTAATGTCTTCTCGTTGCTAACATTTGTTTAGTAGTCAAGCATAGAAAAATGAAGATGTATTAAGTGCCTTCACTTTTTAGGGGAGGAAGCCAAATGTGAAATTTGTTTTCAAGAAGTCTCCCTAGATTAAGTTGCTTGAAAAGATGGGCAGAATCTAACTTTTCCAGTGCCAAGAAGGATACTGAGCAGAGAACTGAATGTCTATTCTCTCACGTGCCCTGTGAAGGCCCTAAGAGGTGGGCCTGATGGCCTCATTTTGGGGGTGAAGAACTGAGGCTGAGGGAGGATCAATGACTTGTGTCTAACTAGATAGCTATGGAATAAGAATTCAAATCCAGTCTCCTTATTTTCAGACCCAGGCTCTTTAAACTATCCCCATAAAATTGAAAGATGCCTCACTATCAATAGCCCTTTAATGGTGCTAGATTTTCACTGTGCTTCTGTACATGAGGAGAGTACCACCTCTTTTTCCCATTTAAAAGTATGCAAGTATTTACCGAGAGATGCTAAATCTAAGTATTCTGCTTTCTTTTATTCTAGATTTTCTACCCTAGCAAGGATGGTACAAAGATTCCAATGTTCATTGTGCATAAAAAAGGCATAAAATTAGACRGCTCTCATCCTGCTTTCTTATATGGCTACGGTGGCTTCAACATATCTATTACACCCAACTACAGGTAAGCGTGGGACACTCTTGAACTTGACATGTGTTTGATCTTTACATCGTGGAAAGGAACCAGAGACTGGTCTACTAAATCATCTCTAACATACTCAATTACATATTTCTTGATTGTTTTCTTACAAGGAAGGAATGTATTTGATAACTATTTGAATTTTTGCTCAGGAATTGCAGGAAATGTAATGACAAGCTAATCTTGTTTTTTAAAAAAAAAAAAAAGTTCTCAGTGTAAAGTTGAGCACTAGATTTAGAGGCTTTAGCCTGTCTACAAAAGATTAGTATCAATTGACGTCTTGAAAAAAGGAAGCACCTATCTTCACTGTCATTTATTACCAAATCAGCCTTTACCCCAGAATTCTCTTCAGTGGGCATGTTTCAGATGATTTTTTTTTTTTTTTTTTACCAGCAGAGACTTAAAATACAATGTCTTAACATTCAGCCATAAATATTTTCTGAAAAATCTGTTATTCATTTTAAACTGTTATGTGCTTATTGTTGGTGATTATTTCCCAGATAACTTATGTTTGGAGGGCAGGGGTATCTATGTTTACATATTGCCATTATTTATGTAAACCACTGTCAGTATTTTTGCAAACTTGATTTTAATATCCCATTCCTTAGTATGGAATTTGCTTTGAGTGTTTTTAATAAAAAGTTTTCTACAAGCAACACCAGCTTTAAACCAACTTCTAAATAGAGCATCACATAAAATCTGATTCACAGATTCACCCAGGATCTTTTTTACTTGGGGAGAGATTCATAGACTGATAACCATTAGGACATAAATTTGGAATGGGTTCAACCAGCTATCCCAGAGTAGAGTGCAAGAAAGCTATTGTTTTGAGTATTCAATAACTAAAGCCACTCATTATTATAGAATGAAATATAAAACATGGTCCCTGCCCTCCTCAAGTGATTTAAACATCTGGCTAAAGAGTTTGTTAGGAGCTAATGGAGGTTTTTGTATAAAATGATAGATTTGTGTCCCTGAACTAAAGGGACACTAGGAGAATGTTATTACTGAAACTATTAATTCATTCTGACAGCGCCATGTCCCAGGCACGGCGTGAACCCTGGGTGACAGCAGCCCCCAGCTGGACTTCCCAGGCAGAGATTTTCGATCTCATTAGTACTTCATATCTATGTGGTAAAACCACATGCCATATTTATTCTGTGATAAAATTATAGGCTTCACCTTTAAGTCAATGATGCTTGAGCGTAAGGGCAGTGAACACATGCCAGTGAATAATGAGAAACACGTATCCCAAGCCCCATTCCTGTGGTCCCAATAGGGATCTAGACCACACTGATCACTGAGTGGATCTACTGTAGCTAGAAGCACTGACCTTTGTTCCTTTGTACTTATTAAACCTCTGTGCTGAAAATCAAGTTGAGTCCCAGACCATTTCACCCAGAACCATGTGAATGTAATAGTAATTTCAAAAAGAGCCCATTAGAGATGCATGAAGTGTAGAAGACCAAGTGACTGAAAATGAATTTGGCAAATTGGGGTAGATGTCATCAGGCCAACCATACCCAATTTTAGTTATCTTTCCTCTTCATCAACATCGAGGAAATTAACACTAAAGCCACCTAGAGCTTTAGGTTTGCAGAAGCCCTCCTTTTTCCCATTACTGAGAATTATAAAATTCTCAAACAATTCAAGGCAAAATTAATAGAAAAAGAAACAAAATCCAAATTTTCTGAAGAACTTAGAAGCTTTGTGTAATTTTTATTTCTACAAAGAACTGTTCTTATTTTCCAGTCTGTGAGCTTGTTATCCTCTTATTCCCTTTATTGACTAGTTTAACATCCAAAGTTCTTTAGAACTGGAAAACATGTTGAAAATATGGAAAGCATTAAGAAAAAAATGAGAGTGGGGGGGCCATTGTCTGTTGCACCTGCAAGCCCCCGACTATTCTTGCCTGAGCTGGCCTTGTTGCAAAGATAGATTCCGTGTAAAATGAGGGCCTCTGATTTTTGTTGTCTGCATAGTGAAGTATTTATTGGTAAGAAAAGTGAAACATAATGAATGTTCATGAAAACATCTGAGCTTTGCAGTATAAACATTAATATTTTATTGTAATCAAGTAATATAAAAATTGGGCTGGTATTTAGATTCTATTACGCATAGTGTTTTCAGGGATACATTTGATTTTTTTGTGATGGAGAGAGCTCAGCAGTGCTTAGCAGATAGTTGCTGGGAGGTTAACTGTCTTCTCTATTCCTCAGTGTATCCAGGCTCATTTTCGTGAGGCACATGGGTGGCGTTCTTGCTGTGGCCAACATCAGGGGTGGCGGTGAATATGGAGAGACGTGGCATAAAGGTGGGCTGTTTTCTCTGAAACAATCTCAAGCCTGGCACAGTCCAAGCTCAGGATGTGCTGACCTTCCCATTTAAATGGGCTAAGGAGCAGAAAGGCATTTTGTTGAGACAAATGGAAAATAATGATTTTCAAACACATTGCAGGCACTGCCCCCCCTTTAAAAATAACCCATTCTGTTCACATTTTACTTTCTTTTGTAGTCTGATAACAAAGCACATTTTTCAGAAGTATTCCCCATAAGACCATAATCAAAACTTGGGATTTTTGAGCAATGTACAAGGTGCATTTTTAATTATCAGCATCAAAAGTGACTCTTGAAGCTTTTTGGTATTTTTCCTGGCAGCCTTGCTTGTAAAAATTCAGTATTATTCATCTGTCTCAAAAACAGACTTCAAAGCAGGTCATTTGCTCCTAAGAGAGCAGTCTACAGCTCTCCTCCCAGTGTGGGTATTCCCTTGTCCTCTCACTACTGAGAGATTCTGGCCTCCTCACATTGCTGCTATGACTCGATCAAGTGTGGGTTTTAGACAAGAATATAGTCACTGTTCTTTTCTGGCCTCCTGAAGCACATATTTGAGTTGACTGGCTAGTACTCAGCTTCATACCCCAGAGGGTCATAGTTTCCTTTTTTTTTTCCTAAATAATCACCTCTTTTAAAACCCTTTCTCTTCCATTTCTTTGTATGTGGAACATCCTACCACCCTGGCTTTTCTGTAGCTAGAATTGAATTCATAGACCAACCAGTGGTCTGATGAGGGCATTCTTCACTTGCCTTGGTCCTCTGTCCTTGAGGACTTCCACTTCTGCCACCTTCCTAGTTCCCTGCTGTCATTTATAACAAGGCCTACTGGGTCGAAGGGGGCCACCAGTTCCTGGAATCCTGAAAGAACTAAGGTTTTCTCCTTTAAGCCCCTCTGGTCATCAGGGGCCACCGCTGTCTGATAAGGAAGATGCCTGGGTCCTGGCTGACTTTTYCCCCTGTTTATTAACTTGAACCAACTTATTTTCCAAACTCATAGGAGTCAGACAAGTTGGAGCTTGACTAAGACTAAAAATAGATTGATTCATAAGCTTTCTCAAAGATGATACAGTAAAAGGACCAGAAATGGACCTTTTCCAGTTACAGCCTAGTATATAGAACATTGATACATGTAAATTCCCTCTGTTCCTTGAGTTTAAAATTTAATGGTCTTAAATGTGTAGCCATGATCCCCAAGTGACATTTTTCCTGAAAACTAAGTAATCCTAACTGTTCAAATTCACTGATAATTTCTTAAGATTTTAATAACATTTGTTTTGATATGAAAACATTTCTTCAATAGCACTACTTCATCTTTAATTGAATTTCTGCAAAAGTGGTTCATTTCAGATCTAATTAGATATGTGCCTGCTCTTTGTTCATTTCAGAGGCAGTTATTTCAGACATCTGTTCCTTTGAGGACTTGCCTTTGGCCTTGTAGATATTCCAAGACCCCCATAGCTGTTTCTCTGGGGGGGGGGTTGTTTAATACATTGGAATGGCTTATAGACAATAAAACCTTGAGGTCTTATTTCATCTAAGAATGGAGAAGCCCCCCTGTGCTTTGCTGAAGCCCCCCGTCACCACCCAATTCCTACTGTTACTGTAAATTAGTAACCCAGGGCAAAATCGGATCATGTACCCACTACAGACTCGAGGAGGGCTGAGCTCCATAATAGAGGCSTTGTTTCATTTTACCTTCAGCTTCTCCAAAATAGAGATTCTTTCTGATGCCATGCTTCTCTCACAAAACAGATCTGTCCTCTTTGGGGCACTTGCCTTTTAAGTTCTAAGGGTTTTAATAAAATCCAAATTCACCATATGTGTGAATTTGGGCCTGCAAGTCCAGGGGTATTCATTGTAGATTTCCACAGCACATAAAACCTCAATTGAGGCATTTCTTTAAATGTTGTTTTAGCTACCATTGTTTAGATTGATCCATAGTTGAAACTGTGCCCTTTTGTTAATTAACTACCTTTCACTTTGGCACATCATAGGTGGTATCTTGGCCAACAAACAAAACTGCTTTGATGACTTTCAGTGTGCTGCCGAGTATCTGATCAAGGAAGGCTACACGTCTCCCAAAAGGCTGACCATTAACGGAGGTTCAAATGGAGGCCTCTTAGTGGGTAAGAACTGAATTTTACTCTTTGTACCTACCAAGTGACCCTTATGGGGTCTCCAGATAGAATTGCCTGTGAAAAGATTGCCTGATTTATACTGGTACAAAGAAAGCAAAACCATTTGTATTGGGGCACCTGATAAATAAGAAACATACTCATGACTGCAGKAAACTAGACCCCATGCCCTCCTGAGGCCTTCCCCCACTGTGGGATCAAGGGTTCAGCCAGCACAGAGCTGATGAGCCTGGTAGCCTATTGTGCTGCTCAGAACTTGTAAGATGTATCCTCCTTGAACATTATGCTGTTGGCTGCCGAGAGAGGCCATGAAAGATGGGGTATTTAGAATAGAGCCATAGCCTTATAGGAATGAAATAGTTAATTCTAGTCATTCTTAGGTACTCAGCAAGTGGGAGCCACTCCTATGTCCAAGCCCTTGATATGCAGAGTTATTGTCCAGGGAGGCACTGAGTGGTTGAAAAGCTCATCRGTGTCACACAGCTGAAAGCTGGGGTTAAAACTGGTACTGTGATTCTGAGTTCTGCTCTTCTATGTGGCACTACCTGTATGCAGCTTTTTCTAATTTTTTTCCTTAGTAGCATTCAATACTGTCATGAATGTATGCGATAGGCCTGGACTGCGCCTGCTGGGCCCTGCACCCCTTGGCATTTAGGATGTGAAGTGTCATCATACGTGTGTAGAAGAGCACATCGACACTTAAATATATGTGACAAGTCCACTTTTGGGAGGGGGTGGTCCGGGGACAGAGCATTCATTTGTCCATGTCTTTGCAAGGTGCTGTCATTTAAAAAACAATCATTTCCAGGCTTGGATGTAGCTCAGTGGTAGAGCACTTGCCTAGCACATATGAGGCTCTGGGTTTTATACCAGTCTTCCAAAGAAAAATTCCCATGAAGGTCCAAAATAATTTGTTTTAATTTGGAAGGGATATTGACAATCATTTGGTTCTTCATCAAATATTTATTGGACACTGAGAAGTGCCAGGCATTTTTTCAGATACTGGGCCTATGTAGAACATCTCTACCTTCATGGGGCTTTCATCCTAGAGGCAGAGGATAAATCAAGGGGAGGGGTGGGAATTCAGTGTTGAAATCAAAAGGTGTGTGGGAACTATTTTATTGCCAGACACAGGAAAAATCCAAATTCCTCAACTGATTCCTAGTCCTGCCAGCTTTGATGTTACCCCTCACGCCATACTTCAATTGTAGTGGCTCATTCACTTCTTGATCTTCCTCACCAGATTTAGTCACTGAAACAGGTACAGGCCTAGTGCCCTACATGGTAAATACTCAATAAATATCTGTTTAATATTGTTTTAAAGTTTGAAAAATAGGAGATGATGAGCCAATATTGGTTAGAGCCTTAAGCTGCGTTTCAGGACTAGCTTGAGGCAAAACAGGGTCTAAGATCTTAACTACCCCCACCAGCTATGAACGCACATGGGTGGAGAGAAGGGGACATGAAGTCCTCAATCTTTTCTGGTAACACCCTCACCTCATTGAGATTAACTTTGGGGAACAAATYGTGTTGCTTTGTATATTTAGATGTTTCTTTCTTGGTTTTCAGCTGCTTGTGCCAATCAGCGTCCTGACCTCTTTGGTTGTGTTATTGCCCAAGTTGGCGTAATGGACATGCTGAAGTTCCATAAATATACCATCGGTCATGCCTGGACCACCGACTATGGGTGCTCAGACAGCAAACAACACTTTGAATGGCTCGTTAAGTATGTTTTGATTGACATATGCTACTAATGATTTGATATCATAATAGTCAACAGAATTAGTATCTGATGCTTTGTCCCCTTGGTGTGTTTTATTTGCATATAATTTACTACAAGAACAGAAGAGATGGAAATACCTTCCACCTTGTTTTAATATGGTCTTTAACAAAAACAAACTTTAAAGGTGTGATAGGCAATATTGCAAAGATGGCCCTCCAGGATTCCTGTCCTTGGTTATTCAGTTAAGAACTATTGTATAGGTACTTTGCAGATAGAACAACAGCCATCACGTAAAGGGAACTTTAGTTCTGCCAACAAACTGAGCCTGAAAGTACTTTTTTTTCCAGTTTCCTATTAAGAGACCCAGAGAACCCAACTGAGCCAACTCACAGAATTGTGAGATAAGAAGTCTTTTTTAAGCTGCTAAGTTGGTGGATAATAATTTGTTACTGCAGTAATCAGAAACTAATACAAAAAGGTGTCATCATACATTGTATGTGGAATTTCCTTTTCTAAATCAAGAAATAAGGACATAAAAGAACACATGCAAACATAATTAAATTCCTTTTGTGCTCAGTGTAACTACAAGTTTCATTACCTAATATTGTAAAACTTACCTCAGTCATAGCCCTCAACCACTTTGGTAACAATGAGTAAATAACAGAATTTGGGGATTATTTATCAGCATCATTTAGGAACAGTCCTTGGACTGGCACAAGAGGCCTGTTTTCCCAACATTCTCAAAATAACTTGGTCATTTTTAATTTGTTTTTTATGACTCTCAAAAGGACTGAATTTTTTAATTGAGTACTTTGAAACTATTGCATTCTGTTCTCTAAGGGGGAAAAAAGTTCACTGTGAAAGCTGTTACTTTAAAATACTCAAATGGCCTCCCTGACACACATTGGTAAAAGCTGCATAACCAAAGAAGCTATGGTTCAAATTATCAAGTGACAACATGCACTCAGGGAAATAAATCCTGTGTAAACTCATTTGAAAAAGTTTGAATTTTTTTCTTCTGTGATATTCCTACCTCAGATTTAAATTTTCTAACTCTGATCTCGCAGGGCTTTATTTTCCTTTTACCTTCTGTTGCTAAATTAGCTAGAAAGGACCATATGGGAACTCTGGAGTGCATCCCTTGGAGCCCCATCTAGAATATTAAAAGGTGTTTTCTCCCAAAAGAGCTGGACCTCCGAGTCTGGGAATGTCTAGGGTAAATAAAGCCTAATAAACAGCCTGTTCTTTCTATAGACCATCTCCTGAAAATTTTGAAACCACTCTGTAGTTTCAAAACTTACTACATCTGTGATGTTGCCTGTGAATCTCAAAGTGGGGAGTATTTTTAATAGGCACCGAGTTTTCCACATTTGTTCCCCATAGAATTAACCCTCATGTGGAGGAGGGGTTTGGTTGGGAAGCAGATCCATTGCCATCCCCCATGTTTTAGCTTTGACTTGGTGAGCTAAGAAAATTTTATACTGTTTTTACTACACTTCAAAATAAAACTCTGCTGAAACAAGTTAATTAAAATTATTAATACTGAATACGTTGAAAAATCTAACATTGGATAAAATGTACAGATAGTGATTGAGGCTCAAGAAATGTCTAATTTGCTGTTTTTATTCTTGAAACTATTTTTGTTAACTTACCTTGGAAACTTTTTTTGTATTTCAAAGAGTTCCTCTTCCACTAAATTTCTCTCCATTGGCCAAAGGCAGTTTCTTTTCTGCTGGACTGTGAGAGGCTCTCAYCTGGGCTTCCTTGGTTTGTAGACAAGAAAGACACATGCTCTTCCTGAGGTTGCAAAGCTGAGCCTGAAATAAAGGCTTTATAGGGATAAGGGAAAGAAAGCCACTGTACACTGGCTTTGAAGTTCAACAAAAGATTAATAGCTAAATAGTCCCACTCTAGTTTCAAAAAACAAGTCATTAGTCCAACTATGTAGCAGTGAAAAAGTCTAAAGAATACGAAAAGATACAGCTCTAAACACTGAGTGTGCATATAGTTTGGCTTATTTCAACAGCCCTGCGAGTTTCTTTCTTACATTTCAAAGTTAAAGCTACATAAATGACATAGCTCCTGTTTTCAGTAGCCCTTCCTGGTCATGACCTAAATGATGAGCAAGCAAACTGCCATGCCACTCACATATTAGGCAACAGAAATCCTCCTTGGTAGTAAAGTTAGACTGGTATAKTAGCTTTCTGTCATTGTGACCAAAATACCCAGCAAATACAGAGGGAAAGGTTTATTTTGGCTCATGGTTTCCAAGGTTTAAGTCCATAGTTGGCTGACTCCAGGATAGAAACATCATGGTAGCAGGGTGAGGCAGAGGATAGCGACTCAGCTTGTGGCAGCAGAGAAGCAAAGAGGAAGGGGTCAGGGACAAGACATTGGTACCAAAGGACCTACTTCCTTCAGCCACGCTCCTCCGTCCTACTGTTTCCATCTCCTCCCAGTAGCCCCATTCAAATTATTAATTCATCAAATGCATTAATCCAGTGAGAAAGAGCCCTCGTGGTCTAATCACTCCCCAAAAGTCTCTCTGGGCACTGCTGCATTGGCAACCAAGTCTTTGACACACGAGCTTTTGGAGGACATGCCAGATCCAAACTAATGGCTGGTATACCACACAGATCCCTGTGCCACACTGGTCTTTCCTGATCATCCTCTTGATCAACTCTGCTTGTGACAAAATCTCACACAAGTGCCTTTGCCTTTCAGATACTCCCCACTGCACAACGTGAGGCTGCCCGAGGCGGATGGCGTCCAGTACCCGTCCATGCTTCTCCTCACTGCTGACCACGATGACCGGGTGGTCCCGCTCCACTCCCTGAAGTTCATTGCCACCCTACAGTATGTGGTGGGCCGCAGCCGGAAGCAGAGCAATCCCCTGCTCATCCATGTGGACACCAAGGCTGGCCACGGGGCGGGGAAGCCCACAGCCAAAGTGATAGAAGAAGTTTCAGATATGTTTGCGTTCATAGCGCGATGCCTGAACATTGACTGGATTCAGTAAATGGGATTTCCTGCTCCTCCAACAGCCACAGAAAACCTCAAGGGCTTTCACACCGTTCCAACCGAGAAACCACTGGGCACAATGCTCCCCACATGGGCACTGTTCCTGCACACAGACTACAGTTGAACAGAACTACTGTGGGAATTTTATCTTTTTTAGGCTTCTCCTTTTTAGCAAGCCCTTGGCGTTTCTTTTCCCACCCTATCCAGGCACATATTTTAAAAAGAATTTTAAAAGGCATGTTTGGATAAATAGCTCAATGTCAGCAACGTGTGAATACTAGATTGCTGAATTAAGGGTCATACCCGGGCATCCTCATACATAACTCAGTGAACTTTGCTTCTATAACCGTAACCTATATATTCCTTAAATAAATGTGAGAACTCTTCTCATGAAAGACTTCATTGCAATACTAATAAATGCTATTTAAGAATAGGAGGCTTTATTTTTGGTTCCTTTGCATTGAAGGGCATCACTTGAAGTGCAGTTGACCATGGGGATAAAGCATTTCATCTTTGTGCAACTCATTAGTTTCCAAACCCTTGAATCATAGAATGTAAGCACTGAAAAGAAGTTGAGCTTGTCCATTCCCACTCCCCAGTCTCTAGTGAAGCTGTTAGAGGCGGCTCACTGTCTTAAACATTATCACTCAGATAGGGGTGATGATCTGATCTGGGACTCTTGGTTTGGCTGCCTCCTTTTAAAAATCTGTGAGGTAGAAAATTCAAATTACTCACCTATCTGATCACATATTGATTTGGTTACAGAATGTTCCTGGAAATCAGAATGCCTCAGATATGAGACTGAGAGGCCCCCTATGTAAATTATCCAAAGATGAACTCATCCAAATTTACAGTCAGAATTTTTAGCCTTTCCCAAGCTGTTTACCTCCATAAACCGCTTCTTGGAAATTAAAATAGTCATTATTTAAAAACAAACATGCAAAATTAAGAAGAAACAGTTTGGGTTCATCCCACTCCCCAAGAATCTTTTAAGGTGAGGATATGCCATCCCTCAAACTTTCACTGGTGATATTAAAACAAAAAATTACATCAAATAATGTTACTTTGGCCAGGCACTGTGGTGCATACCTATGATCCCAGCAGCTTGGGAGGCTGAGGCAGGAAGATCACAAATTCAAAGCCAGCCTTAGCAACACCAAGACCCTATGCRACTCAGACCCTATGTAAATAAAATAGAGCAGGGGACTTAGTGGTTTAGTGTCCCCGAGTTTAATCCCCGGTACTCCCCACCCCAAAATAATAATGTTACTTTGAGTGTCAGTTTGTGAAATGCTGATCTAATTTATAAGAAAACAGCTTGCCTTGCTTTATCAGATATGATGAAAGTAATTATTTTACATGAAGTATCTTAACTGTATATAAAACTACAAGTAAGTCCTATCTTCCAAATCTCATACAAACATAATTTAAGTGCTCTACTTTTCAAGTCTTGGTCAAAAAATCTACCTAGTGGATTACTCCATACCAAGTGTAACTGAAAGGTGACCATAACTTGGTTTCTCTCCTAGAATCATGCTGGTTTCTCTCTTCTAGAATCATGCTGTTACTGTTTGAGTATATGCATAAAGCAGCTGTCATTGAACATCTGATTCATTATAACCTCAGGATAAAAGCTATGCCTCTAGTGCAGAGCATGTGGAGACTGACAACAGTCTATCAGAGAGATGCTCGCACTGGCCAACTACAAAGAAACCTCTAACTAGTGCAGCAGAGAAAAAGCAATAAAATACTCTTGCCCAAGGCAGCCCTTTCCTGAACTGGGTGAGTCACTTGAGGTGCAGCTACCAGCTGACATGCTGGAGAGCACTTTCTAGCTTGTGCAGGATCCAACAATCCTTTCCCACTGAGTTCTCCTACTTACAAGTAGAAAGTAGAAGTTTGGTGTKGAAGGTCTGAGCTTCAGAGTCAGGCCTGGGCTCAAATCCCAACTCTTTCATTTGGTAACTGGCAGTGAAGTAAAATAAAGAAAGTAATGTGTTGATGAGTGCCTAGCACACAATTGCTTCCGATTACAAGATCTCTTTTCCAGCCTAATTTTTCAATCTCAGTTTTAACTCAGTAACTCCTCCCATAAACTAAAAGGTGTCTTTTAAGCTTTAAACATTGGAAGTAAGATTTGAGATTGGACTCTTTCCCAGAACTCTGTCTTACATTGGTCTGTGGTGTTGGGGCGGGGGGGGGGGGGGGGGGGGTTGGGGGGGGGGGGGGGGGGGGGGGGGGGGGGAGATGGGGGGGGGGGGGGGGGGGGGGGGGGGGGGGGGAGGTAGTTCTACCCTTGCACACGTGGTCTAACAGCCCTGTCAATGGGCCTAGCTGAATGCCACAGAGCATTTGTTACCTTGGGATAGTCATATTTGTGCTGTTAAATGTATCCATACTTGGAATATTATAAAACTCTAATTAATCATGTTTCTTAATACTCCCACAGAACTTAAGCAACTATGCACAGATGGTGCTACTAGTTAGAAAAGGTTAAATTTCAGCTAAGGAAGCCTGTCACCAATCTGTCCATGGTCAACAGTCTTAGCAGCCTTAGCAGCTCCCCCATGGCAGGCCACACAGCTAATGCCCAGAAAGACTTGCAAAGACTCAAAGGTGGTTAARGACAGGCTGGGTAGCTATGAGGGGACAGGAAGGGGTAAAAGTCAGAGGGTTAAGTGTGGTCAGGCCAGTGGAATGAGGACTAAGGCTGATGGATGAGGAGTATTTAGGTACACTCTGCATCCTTTCATCCTCAGGGACTGAAGGTACTAAGAAAGTCCTGYCCTCATAAGTGACTTTCCAGGGGAGGAGACAGGTGATAAATGTTTTACTGAGCACTTACCCTTTGCCACTCTGTTCTGTGCACCATGTGTGTGTCCTCACGCAACCTTAGCAATCATATAGTAACCTGAATCCATTTGGCAAAGGCCCAGTGTTACCCAGATGAAGTGGACAAGAAGGACAGTTGGACCCTGAGACTGTTATGGTCTAGATGTTTGTTTACCTCTAAAATCTCTATATTGAAATCCTAATAGGAAGTGGAGTCTTTAGGAGATGATCAGGCCATGAGGGCTCTGCTCCTATAAAAGAAGTCAGAAAGACCACCTCATCCTTCATACCATGTGAAGGCACAGCAAAGTTGTCATCTATGAACCAAATCTGTCAGTGCCTTGATCTTGAACTTCCTAGCCTCCAGAATTCTCATAAATAAATTTTTTATTTGTAAGCTACCCAGTTTATGGTATTTTGTTATAGCAGCCCAAAAACAACACACATTTTTCCACTTAGTCCACTAATAAAATAAGCAGAAAACAGAATTTTAGAAATCAAGAGCTATGAAGAAACAAACCAGGACAAGTGAATAGTCCATGAGAAAGTATGCTATTTTAGCCAAAGAAGTCAGGCCTCCTCAAGGAAGCAACATGTAAACAAAGACCTAAACAAAAATGACAAGATAGTGGGCAAAAGTGTGGGGTACAGGATAGGGGGCAGGAACATCAGGCAGAGCCTGAGGTGGGAACTAGCCAGGTGAAAGAAGCCAGACACAAATGACCATGTAAAGTATGATTCTATTTTAGGTGAAATGTCCAGAAACTTCTATTAGGACAAATTGTAGATTATTGGGTAGGTGATATTGGGAATGAAACTGGAGATTTACTAAGCATACAAAGAATCTTCCTCCCATAATGAAAATACTTGAAAACTAGATTAAGGTGATGGTTGTACAACTTGGTATATTTACTCTCAAAAAGTCAATGAATTGTATCCTTTAAGGGGGGTGAATTTCATGGTATGTAAATTATATTTCAATAAGTTTGTCATAATAAACTCTTGTAAGAGAGAGAAAGGAGCAATAAGTCCCTGGATGAGTGCCATCCAGGAATAGCCACCTGCAGAAGTGTGATGGAGTGGAAGAGGCAGGTGACAGGGCAAAGGAGATAAAAGCTTGCATATCAGCTTGGGTCAGACTATTTTAAGCTGCAGAACTTATGCAGGAGTTCACATCTCAGGGGAAGCTGACCCTCCCCCTCAACCGAATTCATTCCTTAGATCTAGTCAGACCTGCTGATCCCTGTCCTGCACCCACCTCTCTGGCTTCACTATGCTGAGGAATGCAGGGCTTCCTGTCAACAGGGTCCTGCAGCCCAGAGGGGCAGGAGAGGCTCCATTAACAATGGTAAATGACAAAGAAGGCTCTTCTTTTATTACACRTACTAAGCAAGAGAAAATCTCCTGGTGGCCATTTGTGGAAGTCATCATGCCAAATAACCCTAGGAATTATAAACATATGACTTGGAAAGTGAGTCGTATATAGTTGACAATGAAAATATGCTGTCTTCTAGTTCCACTGAAGGCTTTGGCAAATATCAAAGAAAAGAGCTTCTAACCACTCTGAGAACATAGTCAAACTGAGGTTAACCAGAAAACAAGGTCAGCATCAAACATAACCCTAAATTCCAGAGAAAATGATGGGAGTTAACACAAGTTAAGGCCTTGTTACTTCTCCCATGACGTTTGGGTATTATTGGGGCAGTAATTGGCAATTTGCCACAGGATCCAGCTCTGCAACTCTCCCAGAAGTACAGAACTAGAATATCTGGGACCCCCCTAGCTCTGTCACTGCTCAGGTCTACCTCAGAGTATAAAACTCCCTAATTTATCCAAGAGTTGCTAAATGCAGTGTCTTGAGATGAAGGTAACTGGGAGGGGCTTCATCATTTGCTAACAACTACAGGTTGGAACTGATTTTGCTATTCCCAAATGAAGAGCAGGGCTGTGAAGGATGATGGCCCTTGGGTAAAGTGGGTTTAAGGTTTACTCACTAAGGGAGAGAGTACTCAGAGTAGGGAGGTAGGTATAATGAAGGTATGATTCCAAAATGGACATTCCAAAAGTAGACATTGCAAGAAAGTTTGCCTACCTGTTACTCCTGCTCTTGGCGTCTCAGCCCATGAGTGCTTTTGTGTGGCCTTACCTGTCACTCAGGGGTTCTACCCTCAGTGATTGCACAATCTCAAGAACCCCAGCTAAGAGCTCGGATAGAAGTAATGGAGAAAGACTTTGCAGCTTGAACCACTCTTAACTGATGGATTAACAAAATGGTTAGGCACACAGAACCAGAACTAATTCCCACATACACTGACCAATGTACCTATACATTGTTTTAAGCACCTGCATTTTGTCTCAGAAGCTGCATATCTTTAGTAAATATATATATATCTTTTACTAATATTTTTAAATTGTTGTGAAATGAATGTTACTTATAATTTTGAACTTTGTGATTAAGAAAACTTGCTTTAAAAGTGCAGAGTATCCATATGTGCTTCATCCAGATTTCCCTAATGTTGACATCACCCACAACCTTAGCATTGTACAATTCTTAAACCCAGAAACTACCACTGATATGACACTTTTAACTAATTTCCACAC